CCCTCGTGGACGCGGTGCCCCAGCGAGGCCCTGATGTCCCCGGGTCCTTAAGGGGTGGCTGGTGATGACCGTCTCCCTCCTGCAGCGGCCAGTGCCGGATGAGGGGGGCGAAGAGGGCTCCGTCCAGCCCTACATTGTCGGTGAGTGCCAGGGGACCCAGGGGGACCTGGGTGTCAGGGGAGGCATGTGGGCATCTTGAGGGGGACAGGTGTCTGGGGCGGGGACCTGTATGTTTGGGGGAACGCCAGCCTGTGGGGGGACCCAGCGTGTGGTGTTGGGGACCCTGGCATGCGCGACGGACCCAGGCATTCAGGGGAGCCTGGTGTAGAGGGAGCCCTGCGGTGTTGGGTTTGGGGTCCCCAGTGCTGGCGTGGGATCCCCAGCTCCCCCCCGCCCCACCAGGTGCCCAGAGCCCGGAGCAGCAGGTGCTGCTGGCTCAGCACGGCCCGGCCCGGCCTGTCTTCGTGGAGGGTCCGTTCCCCCCCCCCCGGCCGGCACCCCCCCCGCCTGTGCTACTACGTGCTGCGGGGGGACCCCCTGCCCCCCCACCTGCGGGTGAGCCCGACGGACCCCGGGGTTCGGGAGGGGACGGGATGAAACCTCCTGTTGCTTGGGATGATATGGACGGGGAGGGGGCCCCCATGGCCCGGGCTCCCATGGCCCTGGAGGGGGTGGGACGGGCTACCCATGGCCACAGAGGGGTTCCCCTGGCCCAGAACAGGAGGGGATGGGACCCCCACGCCCCAGAATGGGTGGGAGGGGACTCTGATGGCCCAGAAGAGGAAGGGACGAGACCCCCATGGCCCAGGGTAGGAGGGGAGGGAGGGGACCCCTATGGCCCCGGAGGGGAGGGGAACCCTGGCCCAGGACAGGTAGAAGGGGACCCCCTGCCCCCACCAGGAGGACTCCCCAGACCCTGAGCGCAGCCTGTACTACCCCCTGCACCTCGACCTGGACCTGGAGCGTGGCCCCTGGGATGACGATGAGTTCGATGTGGAGGAGGGTAAGGCAGGGGGGCAGGGGCGATGGGGGGACCCCCGTGCCGTCCC